TGGTGCTATTATTTTTTTAACAGCTGTAGTAGTTTTTTTTGGTTCGCAGATAGGGCCGTACACCTAGATATTGTAATTTTTTTGGTCCAGCTCGCATGCTGAAGGAGCGCATGGATTCTATCAATGCCAAGGACGAGACCCACAAGGCGTATGCTGCGGCTCACGGTTTTTCGGTAGAATTCATCACCCCGCGAGCCCCGCACATTGGAGGCCTGTGGGAGTCGTCGGAGAAGTCCGCCAAGAATCTGCTGATCGGGACCATGGGCAGCGCAGTGCTCAAGGAGGACGAGCTGCATACTGTCGAGGCCGTGCTCAATTCCAGGCCACTGGTGATCGACAGCGGCAGTGCTGACTCCAGCTCATCTACTAGTCTGCAGAACGCTAGTTTCGCTGCCGCCCGAATCAGATCTGCCCAGACCAGACAGCAGCACTTCATATTTGCAACGATGGCAGCTCGGGTCTGCCATCAAGCTAAGCTTTTGGAGATTTTGGTCCAGAGACTCAGCCTGCAACAGCGAGGAAAATGGTCCGAGGAGGTCGCCAAGAGAGGAGGTCGTGCCCCCTCAAATGTGGCTCACAGGAATAGTGGAGGAGGTCTCAGGAGCGGACGGGAAGGTATGCGTGGCCGTGATCAGGACTAAGGCCGGGGCCTACAAGCGATCGATCCATCGCTTGGCGCCTATTCCAATAGATTGAAGCCTATAGGCTGTCAACGCGGCCGATGTTAAGGCAAATCAGTTGCTTGCCTATATTTATAATTTGTATGTAAAAGAAATGTATGAAATCAAGCTCTTGAATTGTGATGTCTTGTGCTCTTATACTATGTTGCGAACGGAGCGTATGCCACCAGCAGCCGCTCATAAAGAGGGCGATTGCAATCGAATTGCGAATCAAATCGCCGCTGTAGAATAAACGCACTTATAATTGGAAATCTATTGAAAGCACAAGTGGTTCCCCTGTCCATAATTTAACCCTAATAAATCGTGCCTAACGGCAGGCTCTTTTGCACAACCAAAAAGGTATATTGTATTTGTGGTAAAACGCAGAGAAGAAAACGTTTCCGACCCCATAAAGTATATATATTCTTGATCAGCATCAATAGCCGATTCGATATAGCCATGTTTGTCTGTCCGTCCGTCTGTCAGTCTTGATAAGCTCCCAGATCTCAGTGAATATAAGAGTTAGAGCAACCAAGTTTGGTTCCAAATTAAAAATTTCGCCCCGCCCTTCTGCGAATCATAAGCTCACATAGTTATATACTGACTGAGTACGGCTATAAATCTAATCCCTTGCTTCTCTTGCAGTGAAAACCAAAACGCCTCGCAGAATATCGAATTTGAATCGTCGTACTGGATGCGCGCAAGCAATGCTACGCTACGGGTCAAATCTGACTGAGGGGTAACTGGCTTCCCTACAAGATAGAAAAATACTGTCTATTGCTCAAACTCATACTCTGAACCAGCGCACATCTAAAAGCGTTTTTTTTAGAAATGCATCTGATTCGTTCTCAGCGGAATGCAATCGAAAGTGCAAGGATAGCAGAATCACGTGTAGCAAGTGCAGAATATGAGCGATGTGTGTAGTCACTGCGAGGCCCTCAAATTCAGCAATGAAACAAGCGGGATATGTTGTGCCGGCAGAAAAGTCAAATTGCCTCAGCTTGCAGCACCACCGGAGTCATTGAAAACACTATTTGCTGGATGATCCGCTGAATCCAAGCATATGGATGGTCAGATGGTCAAGAATAATAGTACCGCTTTAACAGATCTATCGTTTTGAAATTACAGCTGCTGATTCACGAGAGTAAACATTTGGTGCGTTTGTTCAAAACAGCAATTGAGATGTCATCGGACACAAGATTGTCCTTCTCGTGGATAAAACTCCGGATGGAGAACATGTCGGGAGATATAGCACTCCAACTCTAGACGAAGTGGCGACTACACTAATCGCCGAAATCGAAAATTTTTTTTCCTCAAAGGCCTTTTTCCAGCACCACGGAAAATTCCTGCCATGAATTTGGTTGTTATTCCGTGAGGGTGTGGAACATAGCTAAAACAGGGTTGATGAATCAGCTGTGTTTTGTAAACAGTGCCAACTGTAAAGTTCTGCTAAAATTAAAAAAGGAAAAAAATGCACTCTGATTATGAAGTGATTTTGTTGGTGGCGGCATATATTGTTGCAAAACAAAAAAGAATAATTTTCATCTCTCTTTTTGGTTTTGCAGACAGTTTTTGCCTACATCTTGCACTATTCACTTCAGGAATAATTGTTGAACATATATTCCTAAGCTGGGTGTCAGCTGTTCTCTCAGTCCACATACGGTCCCGATAGGCAACTATCGATATAAATCTGTGGATTCCGCTCGTGTTGCTGGATACACACTCCAGGAAAACGTAAACGAAAAATTCCTGCAACAGTTTTTATTATACGGAGTTTGACAGGAATTTTTCGATTCCGCGGTGCTGGATACTAGGCTTAAGGAACCAAACCGACTTTATCAGGGCTGGCACAGAAATCACTATTGAAATGGGAAACCGCGCAGAGGATTTCCGCTTCAAAATTTCCACCGTGCCACAGAATTCCAAGCGATTTCATTTTCTTAGCATTGTCACATACCAAATTCGAACTAAGGCTAGGGTTGACGCGACTCTACTTATACCCGTACTCAGTCAGTATATACATTTTTGAGCTTATAATTTTTGGATTTCAAAATTAAAAAAAAAAATTTTACATATTACATTTTTTTGCTACATCTGTTATTTACATCTACAATGTATATTCCACATCTAACATGTAGATTGTACATGTACCATTTAGATTCTAGGGGTTGCTCGCGCACTGAACGCGGCAGAGTGTGCGAGCGAGAAGGAAAATGAGTTGCGTTGTCGTTTGCAGGATGGGGCAGGGGAAGCAACTGAAAATTAATTTCTTCATTCTGGCTATAATTATAATCTTAGATCGTTCAGATTCGGCAATCTGGTAGATATGGGCATTCTGGGCAGTTTTATCGTATCTTTAAAAATGTGCCTGCCACAAATTTTCGTCCTTTATGGAGGCGCAAGGGGGCGGGGCGAAATTTCGAAACACAATTGTAGCAATGTGATATCACATGAGTCTGAAAACCAAATTTGGTTTCTCTAGCTCTTATAGTCTCTGAGATCCAGGCGCTCATCAAGACGGACGGACGGTCCGTCCGGTAAACTTAATTAAAATGCTTTTACCGAGACTGTTGGCCATCGAAGAACTACGGAGGCAACATCTTAGTATACAAACCTTGCAGCGCAGGCTTCTCAGATGCGCATCGGACTCGTTTTTGCGTTCAGACGATATGTATGTGGTTTTCTCAAACTACTGCCAATTTAGTTCATTACAATTACTAGTTTTTGGTATAATGATCGCTATGCTTCTATTTGTGTTGCCATGGGTCTGCACTTAGCCGAACCGGGGTTTTTGACATAAATGCAATCATTTGTTAGTTCTGTTTTGGCATTTTGAAGCGATGCCACCTGGTGAACTTCAAATGACTACAAATGTTATCACAATTTGCACAAAAAGTATTCACACGTTTGACGTAAAGTAAGTTTTACTGCAATGAGCTATTTTTTTTAATGTTTAATTAAAGAAAAACAGAATGCTTTCAATATAATTAATATTAAATATCTTGGTCCGAATTCGGCTTAAAAAAGGTGGAGTGAAAATTCAGTCAGCGGATTGGATAGTGATTTGCTAAAATGCCTATTTTATTAACTTAACATGTATACTGTTAAATTATGTGGATGAGGGTTAATCACCAATTAAACAACCTTTATGGGAAAGTAAGATTCGAATCGTTTTAGGTGTGTGTTTTATGGGTGTATTTAATCAAATTGCTGAATAAATTGTGAGCGATTTTGATTCCGCTGAAAAATTGGTGTGTGGCACCGCGGAATGGAATTGAGGTGATTTTCCAGCGGAAGTGATTTCTGTGGCACCCCTGTATGAATTATGGTTTTTATACCCGTACTCAAAAAAGAGTTAATACTAATACAATACTAATAATAATACAATGTATCCCGTATTTGTGGTAAAATTGGATGTGTGCAACGCCGAGAAGGAAATTTTTTCGAGCCCATAAAGTATATATATTCTTGATCAGCATCAATAGAGGAGTCGATATAGCCATGTTTGTCTGTCCGTCCGTCTGTCAGTCTTGATAAACACCCAGATCTCGCACCCAACCAAAATTTCGCACCGCCCCCTTCCGCCATCACAAGTATATATATTCTTGATCAGCATCAATAGAGGAGTCGATATAGCCATGTTTGTCTGTCCGTCCGTCTGTCAGTCTTGATAAACACCCAGATCTCGCACCCAACCAAAATTTCGCACCGCCCCCTTCCGCCATCACAAAGGACGAAAATCTGTGGAGTAGAGTCGCGGGTACAGAAGCGACGTTCCTTTTCGTTTTAAATAAAAATAAAAACATTCCTGTTACTATCTAACACAAATAAATCGAATTAAAGGGAGTTCTAATGAAATTTCCAAAAAAAAAAAATAGTTTGACCTTGGTAGTGGGACAGTATTTTTTTTCGGGCCGGCACTTGTACTATAAAATCTCGCTAAAATTATAATACTTAATATTTAAATCGTAGAATAAAAAAAATTTGATTAATAAAAACTTGAGTTTAATGGAACGTTTGTAATTTTTAATCTGATCACTTACCTATAAGCTTCAGCCAGTACAGGATTTTGCTTTATTGCCAAAGTAGAGAATTGTGCAGACTTATCAAGCCTTCTACACTGAAAATGAATTGACGACAACAATAACAACACTCCAGTATTTGTACTATCTTGACGCCATAATTGCATGCAATGTTTTTCTGCACTTTCATAGTCCACAGCTTGGTATTCTCTATGAGCCAACTCCAGTAAACCTAAAATATAATACATTTTTATTAAACTATCTAATCTTAGTGAAATTATGGGAAATAATTATACATTTATGGTTAACTGTAAACTAGCTAAATATATGGCACTTTTAGCTACAAAAAATATAATAATTTTGTGCGTTTTCAAGTGAAAGTGAAAGCTGGATCCTGCCTGGAACAATTCAAAATCTGTACTACTCTTTCTATCTAAAGTCATCTATTAGCTGATTCCTGTCTAAATTTGAAGAAGCTGACCTAGTTTGTTTGTGGTCTACATCCATTGATAGCAAGCTTCTTCGTGCTTTGAAGAAAAAATGGAACTCGATTTTGCGAAAAAAAACCACCACTGAAACCAAGGAAAAGCTTGATTAATACTATAGTATCTCTTCTCCATCGATTTCAATGGTAAAAATATGGTTTACTGTATTTCGTTGTGCCCGTACAAGAAAAAACGATGTCGCACATCCTGTGCGCCCTGTTATTGTCCTATTTCCGAAGAAATTGAACAACTTCACGATATGGTGTTGGCCGATCGTAGGCTGAAATTGCAAGACATTCTGAATACCGTAGGTAACCACAAGCCGAAGTAGTTTAAAGTTTGAATAATTGCTTGGGTATAAAAAAGCTGTCCGCAAAATGGTTTCCGCATTTGCTCACAATCGAGATTAGCTCTGCTCTCTTTGCGCTGGCATGGGCCGGCGCTTAGCCGAACATTCTCTCCCAGTTGAAGAGCACGGGTCTTCGACATCCTTCTATGACAGAATACACAGCTTTGCGATAGCCCTCGTGGAGCTCCCAGTAGCCGTTTTGAGCTCAGCTACCCTGGAAACGCCATCTCAGCCGGCGATCAGCTTCGTCACCCTTCTCAGCGGCCACTTAAGGGGAAGCAAGTTCTCGTTCTTTACGAGGACCACGTCACCGACGCTAAGGCTGCTAAGTCCTCAATTTTGACCTCTCCTGCAGAAGCGTGAGGTACTCCTCTCGCCAGCGGGAACAGAAATTCTGCTGCAAGACTTGACCTGCTGCCAGCGATCGAGAAGATTGAAATTGAGTCCGGTCACATCTGGTTCTTCGAGGGTACGGATTGGAGCAGTACCTAAGAAAAGCGCAGGTGTTAGCACGTCTAAGTCGTCGGGATGCTCTGAAACGGGAAGTAATGGCCTTAAATGTATTATAGCAGTGTGTTCCATACAAGCGTTCTCAGGTCATCGAAGCACAGCAAGGAGCTGGAAGCGGAACCTCCCAGAGCCCGCCAAAGTGGTGAGAGCGGGGGGGAATAAACTGCCAGTCGATATGATCCGCAACGCAAAACTCCTGAACTTCCTTCAGGTACCTTTCTGCCAGGAACAGCTTCCAAATTTCCCTGGGTCGACCGCGAGGAAAAATGAATCGCTTTAGAGCGCTTATGAACGCTGGCGTTGACAAATCCTGCACAAGCTCCAAGTGAACGGCCTGGTGGCAAAGCATATGAAGCATATGTAGCATTTGATGGGTGGTCTGGTCCGCACCTCACTCTTGTAAAAGAACGGACCACAAAAATCCACGCCGGTAACTGCAAAAGTGTACGACGCATTCACACGATCCTTCGGCAAGTCGGCCATAATATGCTGAAGCAGGCGCGGACGACCTTATGCGCTGCAGAAAGTTGAAGACGTATCCAAACGTGCGCTGCAGCTTTCCGAAGGAATTGGAAAATTTTCGTCCATCAAATAAGTAAGTCTACGAATGGACAAACTGCAATCAGGGCTCTCTTGCGCAGCTCCAGTGTCGGCATGGATTGAATAGATGGCGCTGGCTGCACGTGCGCGCGATTATTTGTCCTTGACACAACGTAAATACTAGACACCTTTGGCTGGCGTCACAAAACCCGTGAACTGTTGAAGGGTAGGGGTAAACAAACTCTCGCAGAAAATGGTCCACGCTGATGACAAAGACCCAGCTGAAGAAAATCTTTGCTTTTGCGATGACAGGCTTAATCAGTCCTAAGGGATTATAAAAACGAGCAATAATTGACAACATAGAACGTTTCGTCAGCTTTGATGGCAGCTGTGTGGGTACTACCGAAAAGAGATAATTATCGGATGCAGGCACCCAAACCAATCCAAGGGCCTTTGTGAAGTCGGTGCCATCGTCGAACCTTAGCAGCGTTTACTTATCCTTGTCAGGAATTCCCCCAAGTACGTCTGGAACGTTGGAGCACCATTTCCTAATAGGGAACCTTCCCCGAGCCAATAACTGGGATGTATGGCTTATCTTCTCGCGCACTTCCTCTACAGATCCTCCTCCAGTCATCAAATCGTCGACATAGAAATTGGAAGTCAACACTTCCGGGGCAATGGGGAATGCAGTCTCCTCTTCTTCGGCCAATTGGAGCATAGCACGGATAGGATAGGAAGCCGGTTTGCTTCGATATGTTACCGTGTCGAGCTTGAACGTCTTCACATCCTCGTGAGGGAAATCTCTCCATAAGATGCACTGCAGGTAACTCAGACTCAGTTACTCGGACACACCTGTAAATCTTAAAAATGCCACCAGTCAGCGCAGCGACGCAGCGTATGTAGCAGCTTTGTCTGGATGGTAGGCCCGCCATTAGGACATCGTTTAAAGAAAAACCTGTTGAGGATGTGGCAGATCCATCGAACACAACCCGCAGTTTGGTGGTCGTGCTGTCCTCCTTAAACACTTAGGTAATAGCGACAACGACTCAGCAGTTCTGATTCCACCAACGACATATGATTAAGCTCTTGGTACTCCCTAATGAAAGAGGAGTACTGAGCTTGCAGCTGCGGACGACGCTCAAGTTTCCGCTCCAAGTTGAGGAAGCGCCGATATGCTTGCGTGTATGAGTCACCCAAGATTTCCAAACTTTTCTTCATGGGCAGCTTCACGGCGAACTCTCCAGATGACAGGCGCAAGAAATTAACTTTGAAGTGCTCTTAACAACCGATATCCTCCTGCTTTACCATTACCGCATCTTCAGTGGAATGTTCAACCTCCCAGAACAGCCTCAGTAACATTTCCACTTGATCGAGAGACTCCTGCCTGACGTCAGATAAGCGCTGAGCCCCAAGTAAGGCTGTCCTACGTGTTTGCTGACCACCTCCTAAAACCAACCATCCAAGGCGAGTCTTCTGAAGCAAGCCAACAGCCAATTTGATTTGGCCAATGCACAGCAGTTCGAAAAATAGGCTAGACCCAATGAGCAGGTCAATACGCTGTGGCCTGAAGAACTGCGGATCTGCCAATGGCAAATTCGGAGGGGTTTCCAACCAGAAACGCCAACTGAAAAGCTGGGCTGCTGCTACCAACGCGACGAAGCTGGTACTGTAGTCAGAGGCTTGAGACTGCAAATTGAGTCCCACAGTATAGCCCTTCGATACAAAACTCCTCTTTCATTAGGGAGTACCAAGAGCTTAATCAGTCGTTGTCGCCATTACCTACCACATCATTTCGTGTTTAAGGAGGACAGCACGGCCACCAAACTGCGGGTCTAGTTCGATCGATCTGCCACAACATCAACAGGTTTTGAACGTGCTCACAGTTCTACAGACCAGCACCAAAAACCGAAACGAAACAACAGTGAGCAAAACCGCAAAGCAGATGACGCGAGACCCGTTTCTGTTGCTTGTGCACAAATGGCGAACCGAAAAACCGTGGTTCAAAGCAAAACAACCGACAAATGTTATGGTTTTGATTTGTTCGTGATATCTATATATATATACAGTTGTGTGCAATGAAATAGTAGTGCCGCACCTCATCACTTTCAAAACTCTTTTTGAGACACTTCCAGTTATCCAAATTGAACAAATGATACCTTTTTAAATAGACTGGACTGTTACCATTAGAAAACCGAAGAAATATCAATACATTTGAATTCCATTTTCTTGTTTTACATGACATAAGCCGAATACCCATGAAATTTGCTCTTCAATGAAATAGTATTGTTTTCTTAGAACATTGAAAAAAACAACGAATCTCAAATAAAAACATATATTTCATATTCTTCATGTTTCTTGAGCTTTAATATTTAGTTTTTAATCAAGTTTGTTTTCATTTCGAACTTGCACCGGCCGAACATGGGTCATTAATCTCTTGCCAACGCTTCAATAGGATTTGAGCCAATAATCCATGAACCACTTGATAAAACTTGGCTCTGGTTGACGAATTTAAAGTTGCAACAATGTATTTGGTATTCTCCCATAAGATTTCGATGAGATTAATATCCAGTTGGACAGTTGGCCATGGCAAAACGTCGATCTTTTCCGATAACAATTAATTCCTAGCGAGATTTTATGAGTGTTTCAAGTCATTATCAGGTTAAAATATCCTTTTAGCAGGAATTTTTCAACTGTAATATGAATGTAATTTATTCTAAAGTATGCCTACATTCACAGTTATGCTCAAACCCATACAATACTCAAACGCCAGGCCAGAAAGTACTAGCTCATATGAGCTGGGCCCCATAAGGCTCAGACTAGCATGCCCAATGCTATATTTTTCATGATTTTAAGTGGTAATCGGATTTCTGTGAATGCCAAACATATTCTTTTGAGTCTATCTTACCAAATAATACAACTTTACTATCATTAGTCAAAAGTATTTTTGTCACTGTGACACAGGCCATTCCACATGCGTTTTTCCAAACTGAAGTCATGCACCTATGTACTCTCAGATCCAAACGCGGAGCTTTTTGGGACTTCTTGCCTTCGACCATTGCCGACCAACCTCTAAAAAATAAGTTTTTCGCATACAAAATCGATTTCCAGTCTACTTCTTTTAGTTAATTGGGTTAAATACAATAGTGAGAGTACCTACAACTTAGTTTTCAATCCCATTATACCTCCTGCCTTAAGTTTTTAGTCTAACTCTTAGGCCTCCTCTTCTGGACCGAGCAATGATTTCTTCAACGCTTCAAAATCAAGAGTACCGCTATGTCCAAAACTTTCTTTCATCAAATTATTCAATAACCAAATTGAGCTTACGGGTGGTGACTTATTTAAATTAATTTGCTTTGTTTATTCATTTTTAAAAATTAATTTATCCCAGCACTACTATTTCATTGAACAGCAGATATCATTGGTAGTTGTCTAAAGTCATGAAAAACAAGAAGATGGAATGCAAATGTAACGGGGTTTCTTCCAGTTTTTAATGCTTACATTCCAGGCTTTCTGTAAAGGTATCACTTGTTCAATTTGAAGGACTAGAAATATCTCAAAAAGAGTTTTGAAAGTAGTGAGGTGCGGCACTACTATTTCATTGAACACAGCTGTATATATATTTTTTAAATCAAGTAGGTGTCACCAATATGTTGAGCTATTGAGCTTTTTCAATAGCGTATATTTAGATCAAAATTATAATTTGATTGAAATCACGACAATCAACAATCACGTGCACGGCGAGTTGGAACGTTATGGGGCGAGAATTAGAGTTAGTTTTAGACGATAATAGATTTCGAAGTGCTTTCTGCTACGCAGGCGAGCCTTCCTAACAGCTTTCGTCGGCTGACGAATTTCGGGAAAGGGCAAACAACTTAAAAGCGCAGAGTCAGGTAGGCAATGCTGTGCGTAAGAGATTAGCTCTACCCTCTTTGCACTGCCATGGGCTGGCGCTTGGCCGAACAGAGGCCAATGATGAAGTCATCTCTCAAAACATACCTATTTTGAGGACCTCAACTAATCCTATTTTTTTGCAAAGGAAATAATTGGTAAAATGCTGGAAAAAGTATATAAAGCTAAAATACACCAATGTTGAAAAAAAAAATTATTGTTTATCCAAAAACCTGTTTTTTTTTTTAAAAGGTCACGGATTTATTGAACAGTCCTCGTATATGCGTATTAGGCTGGGCCAAAATTTGACCAACAAATTTTTTTTGTTTTTTCAAGGGGACACCCCTTAATTCTGTTCTTTGTTATTCAATAAAATTATAAATTTTTTTCAAATTTTTAGTTTAATGTTTGGGGGTTGCTACCACGAAAAGAAAATACAAATTTTTGGGTAAATATACATTAAAAAAAATTGAATTCGTCGGTTTTTTTTTTAAATATTGAAATTTAGAAACTAGTTCATATTGATAATGAGGTATATTTTTTTTTTTTTTAGTTACTGTTAAAAAATAAACGATTGGTGAAAATCAAAAAGTAATGCGTATGGTACAGGCCTGAAGTCTATTAAAAATACTTTTTAGAAGAGATGTGTACATATGTAGACAGCGTATTATCGTTTTGACCCAACCGCTGGAAACATATGCGAGCAAAAAGTACATAGAACAAACACTTCTCGCCACTTGAATAGGACACCCCATCATGTTAGTTTCATCGACTGCTCCTAAGCCAAGCACGTTAGAAACTTAATTTCTATTTTAAAGTAATGCATATTTGTAATATGATCAAAGGAAAGATTTAGTTATTAAGCTGTAAAAATTAAAACAAAAAAATATCAACGAAAGAACGGCAAATTCCGGGGTCTTACATTTTTGCTACTTGAATAGGCAACGTAAACGAAAAAAAAACGTTTTAAATTTAAGATAACACTACTCAACAAAATTGAACTTTTTCTTTAGGCTGTGGACCAAAATGACTTTTTCTGATAGATTTCGGAAAATGCAGCTAAAAATCGGACCCAGACACTTTGTATCTGCAGCTTAACGCCTGGAAGATATTAAGCTTTCAAATTCAAATTTCAT